AAATTTTAGCCCTAACACTGAAGATGAGCTGTGAAAAAGTCATTTCCTGAAAATGGAGAATGGTTTCTTCATAATTAAAATTGCTCTACTAAGGGCAAAGTGAATTTTCAATGCAAATGTATACTCCAATAGCTATCCCTTGCTGAAAAAGGCTAAAAGACTGGTCATTGGATCCACAATCTGCATCCCAACAACTGAATCTTTTTTTTTTGAGACAGAGCCTCAAGCTGTTCCCCTGGGTAGAGTGCTGTGGCAGCCTCCGACTCCTGGGCTCAAGCGAGTCTCCTGCCTCAGCCTCTCAAGTAGCTGGGACCACAGGCGCCTGCCACAACGCCCAGCTATTTTTTGGTTGCAGCCGTCGTTGTTTAGCGGACCCCGGCTGGATTCGAACCCGCCACTTTAGGTGTATGTGGCTGGCGCCTTAGCCACTTGAGCCACAGGCACTGAGCCGCAACAACTGAATCTCTTACCTTTAAGCGAGGGCCCATGTTCTGAGAACCAAGTGGAGCACTTGTAATCACCAAAGCAGGTAACTTCTGGCCCCTTTCACTTTGTCTTCCAACTTCCACACAAAAGAATCAAGCTGCAAGGTCAACAGAAAGGGTCTTCCATCAGATCTTCACCGAGAATGTGTCAGAATAAGCAGAGGGTCAGTGTTTCTGGAAGGAAAGGGATGAATTCCAGGGAGAGAAATAGAGCCCAAGAATATATCATTCCTGGATTTGTTTGTAGTGCAGAGTGCAATCAACTGCCAAAGAATACATACATTCTGGTGTTCCAGGATCCTACCCTAAAAGAAAACAGGGTTAATGATATAGGTTTTTATTTCTGAAAGAGATTCCCCAGAAAACATCAAAGAGGAGGAAGAACAGGCAATGGAAACTATGGGCCACCAAAAATAACAAAGGGTTGGCAAACTCTAACCAAGCATTTCCAATTAAAACTCCACAGTTTCCTTGAGGCCACTCTCCAACTCCACAAGACAAGGCACCTGGCAACTACATTGTCTGTAACTAGTATATCACTCCCCAGGAGGAAGCTCCAGCAAGTCAGTTGATTCCAATCATTCAGTAGAAGCAAAGGAAGGCACAGATTGAAAGAATGAGCTTCAACACAACCACATGCCCAGTTTCAATTTAGTGGGGCTGAGGAACAGTCTGGAAACAACTATGAAGAGAAATGAGACACAAACAGAGACAGAAGCAGAAGGCATCTATGCCATGATAAGGAATCAAAACTATTCAGTTGGAAAGGAGAAATCTCCAAAGAGCTTTAAAACCCAACCTATCAGCCTATGCAATCTGCTCCCTTTATACCCATGTATGCATTTCCAAGACTTAGTTAAACAAAGCTGATTTTATATTTAAAATAGTAAAATATGTTGCTACATGTGGGAAAAACAAATCTCTGAACTTTCAAATAAAGTCACTAAATAACATGCAGTGATGGCAATTTATAATTCTCAAAGATATACAAGAACCAAAAATGTAGCAGAAAGAGGGTTTATGGCAATGCATACACAAACATCCACCATAAAACAAACTAGAAGAGACTACTAAACCATCTTACCACATGACAGGAACTAGCAATACCTATCCTTCGTAGGTTTTAACTCACCACTCTAAGACACAATTATCCCTATTATCCCTTCATCCCAAATGAAGAAATTGAGACACAAAAAGGTATATGTATTTTTTTCAAGATAATACACAGTGAGTTCAGATTGCATGTGAAAACCCCACACTGTACCCCAGAAGTGCATTAATGTACATAGTTACCATTCAATAAAAAAAATTAAAAAAATTAAAAAAAAGATAATACACAGTGAGTAGAGTCAAACCCAGACAAACTGGACCCAGAATCCATACTACTCTTCTGTCTCTATACGATGGGAAACCAAGGTAGAAAACACAAAATGCTACAAAACAAAAGAACAGAATGAGTGAAGGCCAGCAAATCACATGAGCTGGAAAACTTTTACAATTAAAAATAAATACATGGGCAGCATCTGTGGCTCAAGGAGTAGGGCGCCAGCCCCAGATGCCAAGGGTGGCGGGTTCAAAACCAGCCCCGGCCAAAAAACTGCAATAAATACATAAATAAATAAATAAAATACGTGCATTTATTTTAAAATATGCCATCAGATTTGCCAAATACATGAGCCAAAACCTGGGTCCAATAGCAAATGGAACAAGCATAAAGAATCTGCAAACAAGAGAACAGTTATATAAATTACGAGATCCCTGTGAGAGAATGTTATATAAGTATTTTTTAAATGACACAAAAATTTTAAGTATTAACAATATAGGGAAACGCTCACAAATAAAATGTTGACTGAAAAGGTAGACAAAAAAAATTGTTTAATAGCATAATCTCAATTTTAGAAATAGTATAACATTATATGAGGAAGACTAGAAGGAAAAACATAAATATGTTAATAGTGTTCACCTCTCGGCATACAGAATTATAAATAATTTTTCTCTTCTACCTGTACCTTTTAGTGTTTTTCTTTTACTTTCTTTCTTTTTTTTAAGACCAGGCCTTGCTATGTTGCCCACGCTGGTCTTCAACTCCTGGCCTCAAGTAAAGTGATCCTCCTACCTCGGCCTCACAAACAGCTGGGATTACAGGTGCAAGCCACCTCACCAGTGATTTTCAAATTCTTTTTAGAGACAGAGTATCTCTTTGTCACCCTTTGGTAGAGTGCTGTTGCATCACAGCTCACAGTAACCTCCACCTCTTGGGCTTAGTGATCTTCAAATTCTTTTTAGAGACAGAGTATCTCTTTGTCACCCTTTGGTAGAATGCTGTGGCATCACAGCTCACAGTAACCTCCACCTCTTGGGCTTAGGCAATTCTCTTGCCTCAGTCTCCCAAGTAGCTGGGATTATAGGTGCCTACCACAAAGCCCGGATATTTTTTGTTGCAGTTTAGCTGGTTCCTGGTTTGAATCAGCCACCCTCAGTATATGGGACTGGCGCCCTACTCACTGAAACACAGGCCCCACCCAATTTTCAAATTCTTTTTTTTTTTTTTTTTTTTTTTTTTGAGACAGAGCCTCAAGCTGTCCTCCTGGGTAGAGTGCCATGGCATTACAGCTCACAGCAACCTCCAACTCCTGGGCTCAAGCGAGTCTCCTGCCTCCACCTCCCAAGTAGCTGGGACCACAGGCGCCTGCCACAACACCCGGCTATTTTTTGGTTGCAGCCATCATTGTTGTTTGGCGGGTCCGGGCTGGGGATTCGAACCTGCCACCTTAGGTGTACGTGGCTGGCGCCTTAGCCGGTTGAGCTATAGGCGCCGAGCCAATTTTCAAATTCTTAATGATTCAAGGACATGTAAAAAATTCCTACTTCTAGAGAACATATATTTTTAGGGACCTATTTTTTTTTTTTAAAAGGAAAAGATTAGGCAAGTTACCCTTTTTTTCAAATAAGGTAACAGTATAAAGAAATTAAGATAAAATGTACTGAACCTTTACTTCATTTCATTTTGATCCAATCCTGTGATCAATTAAGTTAAATAACTCCCAGTTTTAATATACCTTACTGTCCATCCCATGAACTACCATGCTTATCCCATGCTTCAGTCCTCTAGTAAGTTTCAAGACTTCACTCAAGCACTACCCCTTCTCTGATCCAGCACCCAGGCTTCTCTGAGGAAGAATCAATCATTTCCTCCTTTGTGAGACTCCTATGCTGAAGATATCTCTATTCTAACATTTATTAGTCTGTATTAAAATTATTTGTTTATATATTAGTATCTCCTAATAGATGGTGGGCTCCCTCAGGACACTGGCTGGATCATACTCATCTTTGCCTCCCAGAGGCTAGTATGTTATTCATCCCAACTATGTCAATCTGCACTTTCACAGGATCCCAGCTGATTCCTATGCATATTAAAGTTTGAAAAGCATGGTCTAGACCAGTGTCTTTCAACCTTTTTTATGTCATGGCACACTTCAACCTATAGTTGAACTTCCACAGCACATTCAAATTATGTTGATCAAAAAAAAAAAAAAAAGAGTAAAAAAAGAACATACTTACTGTGCTTTGAACTTCTTTCGAAAATAATTTAAAATGATCTTTAAGAATTTCCACGGCACACCTAAGATCCTCTCCCGGCGAACTGGTTGAAAATCACTAGTCTAGACTGTAAGAAGGAGTCAGCCTAAGAAGGAGCCCAATATTCTGTATCTTTAACAGGCATACAGGCAATACAGATGCTGCTGGTCTTATAAACCATGCTTCCAGGAGTAAGAGTCCAGAGAAGGAGTCAGCAAACTGCAGCCTCCTGGCCAAATCCAGACAGCCACCTGTTTTTGTAAAAAGAGAATAAAAACAGCCACGTTCATTGGTTTACAAATTATCTATGGCTGCTTTTGTGCAATGGCAGAACTGAGTAGTTGCAGAAGACATGCATGGCCCACAAAACTTTACTATCTGACCCTTTATGGAAAAAGCATACCACTTCCTAGTCTACTGGTCCTAGCCTTAAAGCTGGCTGCCTTATATAAATGTACACATCTTTATAAATCAAAGAAAACATTAAAATAATTTTCTTCCAGTGCTACTATTCTCTCTCAGAAGAAGAGCTACAAAACTTGCAAAACTATGCAAATGTTTCTAATTTCAACTCTGATTTAAGTTGCCTCCTATACTCCAATTAGAAATTTTATACAATCATTTCACAAAGTACATATTTCATATAATCATGCTTGCATTTCATCAAGGCTAATATTTCCTGAAACCACTTTGCCACTGGGAGGCAAAAATGAGCAAGACCCAGTCAGTGTCCCCAAGGAGCATACCATCTCTTAGGAAATACTGCTATATAAACAAATAATTTTAATATAGACTAATAAATGTTAGAATAGAGGTATCTTCAGCATAGGAGTCTTACAAAGGAGGAAAGGATTGAAAAACCTAAAGTGAAAGTCTACTTCAGAATTCTGAAGTACATATAGCATTTCACTATCACCCACTAATTTCCACAAAATAAGACAAGACAGAAGAAAGACGTTTGCTTTCTAAGACATCATCTCCAGCATTCTCTATACAGAAGCACCAGCCATAAGTCCAGGAACATGAAATAAATTTTAAAAAACCTGAAATCATTCAATTAGCAAAAATTGTACAGATTATGGTGGTCTAACCAAGGAGGTTCCAAGAAATAAAATGCACCATTTGGATTATGGGTTTACATTTATCATGGCTTAATCTCATCATGACTTAATTTCACCCTGGATTATTCTCCCCATCCCAAAATCTCACCATAAAAGATTGCCCTCTCCCACCAAGTTTGTACTCTTGAGATATATTCATACAGTTCTGTACTTCTGCTATCTTGGTTCAGCCAAGTTATATGGTTTTCATTTACACTTTCTTCATCAATCAGACCCTCCAGTCTTTTAATCATTCTTGGGTCTTCTATGAACTCTCTCCAGCTGGTCCCCAACAATCTGGTAATGAGGTGCCTCCAAATGTCTGCAGCCTTCCAGGAACAGCCGTGGTTAGAACAAGATGAAATCACTCTCCTTGGTTCCATGACATAATACTCCTGAGTAGGCAATCCCCTAGATCACAGTAACCTATATTAAACTACAACCCCATTCCATGCCTCCCAGATCTGGGTATGGGTCATGCCAGAATGTACTAGAAACCAGAGGACAAATGACATATGTTCCTGCAGTGTCTATTTTACTACAGCAGTGATTTTCAACCTGTGTGCTGCGAGAATGTTTAAAGATCATTAATT